GATCCTGAAGACCATGGAGTCAGCTCTTCCTCGTTGTCTGGGAAAGCCATTACAGGGATGGTGGGAGGGGAATGGTGAGGAAGAGAAGGTGCATGGAGTGTTGCTTGAAATAGAACACTGTATTTCAGATGTTCTTTCTCTTTTCTGCCTTTTTTCAACTTGCACCACAGGCTCTGAAGCATTTTTTTGTCACCTTCACTAAAACCTATCCAATGAAGACTGCTTCTGTTTTCTTTTCAGAATTCCTTAAAAGTGTGAAATTGTTTGGTCATTGAGTAAATTCACATTTGTGTTTGCCAGAACTTTGTCCGGATGGTACTTCTCCACCAGGTTTTGAACCTCTACCCATTTTGCACACATTTCTTTTATCAAGGAACTGTGGATATCCTCCCTTATCTCCTCCTCACCTGAAGAAATCTCTTTAGTCTCCTCTTGTTGATACTCCTTCTGTAGTTCCAGCAGCTCCTCAGGCTCAGGTCTCATGATATTCTTCTACTAACTGCTCAACATCAGCCGAATTGACCTTCAAACCCATGGACTGGTCAAAAGATACAATACCCTGCACAATAGTCAGGCTCAAACCCTTAGAAGTCTCTCTGAGTCACAGCTTCTGATCACAAATTCTTCCATGCTGAATTCATTGTCCTATAAAAGACTTGGTTCCAGGCCTTATCAATAAGATTAAGGCAGTGCAGGATATTGAAATGCTCCTTCCAGAATTCTGTGAGGGTCAACTAGATGCCAGAGATGGTCTCAAAAGCCTCTGGAAAAGCGCCTTAGTGTACAATTTGGTGCACAAATTTTGAAGTTTGAAATGGCCTGCTGATCCATGGGCTGGATGAGAATAGTGTTGGGGGGGGGGGGCGGAGGTAAAAACCTTACAATGATGAAGCTGAACTCCTCCAATAAGTAATTCTCCAAGCCTGGAGGGTAGGAAGGTACATCGTCCATTATTAGGAAAGCTTTCGGAGGCAAATCTTTCTGCAGCAAATATGTTTTCACTGAGGGACCAAACACTTCATTTATCCATTCGGTAAAAAATCACCTCATGACCCAACTTTTCTGTTTGCCTTCCATATCACATGTGAGTTTGATATTTATGACATTATGCTTCTTGAAAATTGACAGGTTTTCACTATGATAAAATAGTAGAGGCTTGATTTTTAAGTCCCCACTACCATTCCTACACAACAATAGAGTAAGCCTGTTCTTCATTGGTTTGTGACCTGGTGATACCTTCTCCTCTTTTGTGATGTAGACTCTAAAACCCTCAGACCCTATGAAGTCATGAATTTCACAGACAGATTCATCAGCAGCCTTTTTATTAGCACTCGCTGCCTCATTATGCCTCACGATGCTATGGATGTCGGTCGTCTTTTTTAAGTTATCAAACCAGCCATGACTGACCTTAAAAACTTCAACAGTCTCACCACTTGGTCCAGGTTTGTTTTTCAAGAGATCGGCATGCAACAGTTTTGCTTTTTTACATATCATGCCTTCTGACACACTGTCGCCCACTAACTGCTTCTTGTTTGCCCAAATTAATAACAGCTTTTCAACTTCCTTGAGTATTTGAGAATGCTGCTCTGTTACTACTGTAACTTCTTTCGCAACATCAGCCTTTTTAATTGCTTCTTTTTTCTTAATTATGGTAGAGACCATTGTTCTAGGCATACCGTATTCCCTAGCAAGATCAGTAATCCAAATACAAGTACCACTCTCATATTTGCCTACTGTTTCTTTTCTTTTTCTTTTCTTTTTCTTTTTTTGATCAATGGAGGTGCAAAGTAATTTTCTGCTCAGCGCTACCACTGCTTGGTTTCTTAGGACCCATGATTAGGGGAAAAAAGTACAAAAATATACAAAATGACCACAGAAGCTAAGATAAAACCTCAAGGAGATGTGTTTAGGGCAAGAGCTATCACATGATTAATGTGTGGCCCTTTGTTTTGGCTGGAAAGGCCAGCACGTCACAAGGCAGCCAATATCCACAAGCTTTAGCTTGCATGTCGAGTTCCAAACAAATGACAAGCACCAGGACACAATTTTCGCATCAAGTACTAAATTTGACAACTTTCAAAGCAATCAAGTATCAAGGTACAGGCGTAATGAGCACCATTGTTGAGCTTACATTTGAATTAAATGGACCTGAGTCAAAAGCATTTGTCTTCAGTTTCTTGTTGAGGGAGAGAGAATAAATTTGGAAAACAAAATTATTTATTAAAATTAGGTTTGTCAAAAACATTTTTTTAATAAAAACATTCCATCAAATAAAATTCTTTGCAACTCTAGTAACAACTAGGCTTTGGGGAGTTTGTTAAATTGGAAATTAGATTGCAATTAACAACTTAGATGTTTGCATGTAAGTTAAATCTTTTTTGTCCAGTGGGAATGCATTTTTCTCTAAACAAATTACATGGCTTCACCATGTATAACTGAAGATACCAAGTTTGTATTTTGATTGACCACAAGATGTTTTTATTTCAACAACTGTTATTCTGGGGGGGGGACCCAAAATACTGCTAATGCATTATTATTTATGTTCTCTACAAAAGTAATTATAAACCACTGATTAACAAATAAATATATAACCTCTAAAACTACTAGAAAATAATTTGGATTTCTTATCCTTTATTGAGTAATTATGTTCATTAGTTTATCTCCTTCTCAAATCTTAATGGGACAAGTTAAGTGAAAGCAATATCACATTCACAATTCCCATCAGCAACTTAAATAGTAGGATGTTGGAAGAAAAACCATATATGTAGCATCTTTCCATAAGATTGGAAATCTCAACCCACACACAGACAAGCAAGACTTTGTTCAAATTGTCACTTGATATAGGTTTGTCAGGATAAATGGTTACAAATCTGTTGCTTGTGTGTTTAGCATTCGTATGAATTTCATCTTACCAGGGCACACTTCATATATTAAATTAAAAGAATTATAATCACAGTGCTGAATTCTTCACTTAGAATCTCCCTGTCAATTGTGAAGTTATGCTTATTGTAATTAAGCATATAATATGTATTATTATGCTTAATTAATTGTATATTGCATTCCATGAGAACAGCATTTTGCAAAATATATGGAACAAATAAACATGGAAAAAATGAAAAGGAAAATCTTAATTATATATATTGAAGTTTGGAAAATACAGAAACTAGACAACTGTTCTTGAAATATTTTAAAGATTTTGAGAGTGATGGAGAGTGGGTAGGGGAGAGAAATATTAGAGTCTTAAAAGGTGACCCCCAACTATAAGCAGCAGTAAGGTTAAAGGAAGCCTAAGAGTTCTAGAAGGCTGAAAATAGTGGTACTGAATATGCAAAGCTACTAAACAATGGTATATTGAAATAAAAAGATCAGTCAACAAATACAAGTCAAAGTAAAAGCACATACAAGATGCTTCTACAGGATTCATATCTGTCTAAATGATTACCTTTTAAAGTGGAGTGGAGTGCAAGACAGATAAAAAGAGACCAAGAAATTTATCATCTCTTAACCAACAGGCATTTTAACCTTGATAATACTATATCACACCAGCTAGTTCAAGGTTTATTTTTAGTCACTTAAAAGAATTCTTATCCAAACAAACAGATAACTTTACAGTTTCTGTTTTGCTAACATCACAGTCAAAATAGCATTAAGAAGGTCAGTTGATTTCAATAGAATTGTTAGTAGACTAGTTGGAAACATAAAATACTTTAAAAAATAAAAACAGAATTCAAAAGATATGCATGGATATATTTGTATATAGCTCTGATCTAATATTCATGTTCCTATCAGTTCATAAATAACATATCTCTTCTGATAGCAGTATTATATCCCAGACTAATTCCAGAAATATGATCTTCCTCAACTATATACATTATATATTATGAATACTACATACATATGTGTACCTAAACCATGGCCTAAATTTTTCAATATTACTATAGTTTGTATAGATAAAAACTAGGGTTGAAATGTAAATTCTAATTATCATATGGACTGCAATAACTTAATATAAAATATATCTATTAGAAATTTTCATGAAAATTGTATATAATAAAGGTAAAATGTTTTGTCTCTCTCTCCCAAATAATGCAAGAAACCATTTTCAATGCCTGGATAACTTTCATAAATTAGTAGAAATGTCTGACAAAGTTATATTTTCCTCTTTTATCTTCATGTATTATTCTGCTAGTACTGAAACAATAGTAATTTATGTGCCAAAATATTTAAGAGGTGAATAAAGAGTCTAATTCATGCCATCATGTTCAAATCTCCAAAATTGAAAGACACTTTTAAAACTTTAGAAACTATAATATACACTTTATATCCTGCTTTTAAAATTATTGATGTTCGGCTCTTTTAAATATACATTTATGTATTTTATTTTTCAATTTGTAACAATTCCTGTATTTTTTAAAGGAATTAGTTTCTGACTTTCTCCTCAAGGGATAGTCATTTATAAATGTCACCCAAAAGAAAACTGTCGGTCAAAGCCTTTCAACTTGACAAATATTGACAAAAAATGATTCAGTGATGATGTATAAAGTATTAGATGTATATAAACTTTTTAGCAACTAAAATGACCTGAAATTTCAATTGTATGGTCATATCAATCAAGTATATTTATTTATCTAAAAGTAAAATATATTTAATATTTATAGTTAAGTATATTTATTTATGCGAAAGTTGTCATGTTACTTTCAATGGGTTCTATATGAAAGCAAGGAGCACCTTGCATTCCCATCAACCAAATTAAAGGCCTGGTACAATTCACTTTATCAATGAAAATTTGAAAAGCAACATTGGTTATTTAGTGTAGTTTTATACCTGCTAACTAATTAGTATATAACACTGTATTCAGTGGAATTTACTCCCCAGAAAAACTGCATTAAGACTTCAGCCTCAATTTAAAAGATGTTGTTTTAGAGTTATCACTTAAACATACCCTTCGGTATGTCTCAATGTTAGAGCGAAACTAAATCTACACACAGTAGCTTACTTACGTCTGGGGCTCCTTCTCATTTTGTTGTTTTTGCTGTGGCTGAAGAACGTTATTTACCAGCTCAGTGAACCCACTAAAGGGAAACCACCTGTTCAAATAAGCAAATAATGTAACTGAATAACCAAATGAAATCATAGTAGTATAATTTTTTTTTCTATAATCATTATCATCATCATCATCATGTAAATGCAGGAAAGCTACAGCCAATGGAAATGTTCACTGCAATTAAGTCAGCCACAATTAGGATTTAGGGGAGAATAGTTTTAAACCAGAATAATCCGCAAGCAGGTAGCAAGAAACCACATCCAACTGAAATGTGGATGAAATAACACACTGAAAGCAGCTTTTACAAGCCAATCCGAAAGCAGATAACTAACTGCAGCCTATCTGGTATTAGTTTAAAACCATCAAAGGTGCAGAAAGCAGAAAATGGCAAAGGTAGAGAAGTAAAGCCCACTGCACTTGTGTTTTTGGTTTTTTACTTACTGTGTCACTGGTTGTTTTTGTTCTTCTTTATCCCTAAAAAAATAAGTGCACAACTGAGTGCAGTATATATAGGACACAAACCCTTTTCTATGTCTCTCATATCTGAGTGGCATCAGAAAAATATTTTTTATTTAACTACACCTTGCATCCAAGCCAGTTTTCCACTAGACAAAAATATTAATGCAGTATCATAAAACATAAAATGTACAATGTCTCCAGGAAATAATATACTATGGTCAGTATGTAATGTTTTTACAGAATTACTTGAAATACTGGAATCTTAAGACATATAATTAGCCATACAATCTCCAATTTAAATTTGTAGTTTGCATGACTAAAAAGCAATTCACTATATACAGTAGTAAACTAAATGAAACAATAAACTTCAAAAATACCGTGATCGATATAATCGTGAGGTAATCACTATCTTCAAAATTATTTCACACTTTTCAAATATTATATTTGTGATAAAATAATTATTTGATTTGCTTATACCCTGTCCCACAAGATTCAGTTTTAAACACATAAGATTCAGATGCTCCAACCCTTCCATAAGACTTTGAAAATCTGGCTTTTCTCTCTGCGTGGAGGCAGAACCTGTCTGTAATAACAGGAATACTGAATGATTGTAGGTTGGCCTCAGTTTATAGCATGTTCTCCTCTGTGCTATCTTTACCTGTTTGCTTTTGGTTTTAATCCTATATTAGCTGCCAGAATCACTGTTGGTAAGTTGGAAATCCATACAAAGTGAATAAGTGAATAGCTCAATGAGGCTCTTGTTAAAGTATCAAAACCCAAAACAAGTTTCAAAATATGACAAACTGCCAAATAGATATCAAACTGCACCTCTGATGTGCTTCCAGGTGGTAGGTTTATGAATTTCATGGGTTCTGACTATGTCTGAGATTTTTTTCTAGCAGTTATGCTCTTGATTATACCTTGACCTCTGGGATTTGGAATCTCCTTGTTATCTATGAATCAGTTGGCTGGTTGGACATGTTGTTTGTTTCCTCTTTCTACAAGTGGTTGGAAATACCTTGTGCCTTCTGCTTGACTGGTGCTAGACATGCCTCTTCTGGCAATTTTTTGGCTAATTGGATGGATCTCCTGCTTTACAGATATATTATAGTAAATACTCTTTGGGGTTCATTTGCTTCAAGATTTCACCTCACTGCATGTTACCAAAGAATGAATTGTTGCACATGTTTGCTCTACATAACTTGGGGTTCACCTTGCTGTATCCTTTACTCTTCTTATTGTATCTAACCATTATGTTCTTCTTTGCTCCGTTACTCAGCTATGAGCATTTCTTACTTGGAATGTAAATACAGACTCTGTAGCCAAATAGATGGCTTTAATGCCCTATATTAAGATTCATGCCATTCCATCATTCATATAGTGTCTTTTCTGTGGCTTCTTTAGGTAACCAAGTACCATAACTGTCTCTCCCTAGAATTTGTTGGATAGATTAGCATCTTATCAAAATGCTTCTTTTTCAGATCCTGTCAGGCAATCATTCTTTCTGTCAATCCATTTTGCTCTAGAATATAGGTTATATAATCTGGTGCTTCGTGTTCTGTTACTTCCAGTGTCTCCATGTTCCTATATTCTACTCCACTGCCATTTCAGAAGATAATTAACTGGCACTAAACTAGGTATATTGCTTACCATCTTCATGTATTCTGAGTTTTAGACTCTCATTTTGCACATTTTTGCACTTTGTGGCTATGTCTTTCTGTATTGTGTGATAATCAATGATGATGATGAAAAATCAGTTGCCTGAAAGTCACTTGTCTTATCATTCCACATAGTCACTGTGAAGGGGTGACTTGATCAGCTGTTGATGATGTTGGGTAGTGACATGTGAGTTGTCTTTGTCATTCAAGTACCATAATGATATAGTCCTATGTCTGATCCATTGTTTTGACTTGCAAGTTACTTTATGACTTTAGAGGTCACAATTCTGAGTCATCTGTGCCACAGGCAGATGCAATTCTAGTGAAGAGGGTGGGTTACCACTCTGGCTTTTTCACCCTTCACCTCTAAGGGCTATACATATATAGGATAACTTGTAACTGCCCCAACAATAATTCAGTTCACTTCATTAGAAACTGTACATGCTTCCATTGCAGTGCCATCTTGATCAAGCATTTCATAGAAAGTAGACTTCTACCTATTACTTATGCATACAGACATCTTTTGTTGGGGTCTTGCATTTCACACTGGCGGTGAAACATTTTACAAGTCCATTTCCAATTCCTTGCACTGTTAGGCCCTTCTCGTTTGCTAGGTAAATTTTTTCATTGCTTCATCTCATTCTATTATAATCATTCTATTATTGTTGTTATACAGTTATTGGTTCAGAATCTATCCTCCATCTGAATCTATTGCTTCCTTTGGCTGCTTTATAGTATTCACTCTATGACTCCAATTGCTTCACTTGCTGTAGTTTTTCCTGCTACTTTCTCTTTGGTGACTCCCATCTTATTTTGTTCAGTCTTCCAAATAAGGTAGTTTTTCTTTATGCATACTTGCTTTTTTGCAGCAAAATAATATAGAGTGCTCTCTTTCCTTCTCTCTGTCTCCCAAGCATAAATACAGTTTACTTGCCTTCCTTCTTCCTTCTGTAGTGATATATATATATCAATCGAATTCCTTCTGTCATATTCTAGCATAAATTCACCATCTAGTCTTCCACATAAGCTGTGTATAAAGAGCTATTTGTTTGTATGCACCTTCAAATCAACAAGTTTCCACATTTTTCTTGGCAACATTTTTGGAAGTAGTTTGCCATTGCCTTTTTCTTAGGGCTGAAAGGGACTGACTAGCCCAAAATCACTTAGCTAACTTTTACCTAAAATAGGTCTAGAACTCAGTGTCCCAGTTTCTGTGTGGTGCCTCAATCACTACACCAAATGGCTGTCATAAAGAACTATAGGCTTTGAATTAAAAGGACAGCAGCAAAGCCCCTACATGATTATCTCTCATTTCCTCTCCTCTTTTTAAACTTTTATTAAAATTTATTGCAATATAAAATACAATGAAAATAAAGATTAGACAAGGGGAAAAGAGGGGTACTGGATAATAAGAAGGGAAAAAGGGGAGGGGGGAAGCATTGACTTCCAACTCTTTCCACTACAGTAACATACTAACTATAGGTACAGCCTCCTTTCTGCATTACATTTAGTAATTACCAGCAATTTCTGTAACTACACAATTATACTACCTTCTAACTAAAGTCCAAAGTTTTTTTTTCTTCTATTTTGAGTCCAGAAAAGTCCAGAAGCAATTCCCAAATGGAAATCAAACTGGATAAAAGTTTATCTTAATTTAAAACAGTTAACAATGCCATCTCAACCAAATCCATTTTTCCTGTCCATTTTTTCTACTGTGAAAAATAATATATCTTTCTATTTACATTTATTAGGTTTATGCATTGTCATCATCTATAATAGCAAAAATTCCACATATTCTTTCAAATTCTTTGTCCAACAACCCTAAAGAAAAAACTTCTAATTCCAATGTTATATTCATTTTAAAATCGAAGCTTTAAAATGCTTTAAAAATTGCCATCCTTACAGATACAATTACTTCTAATACATTGTTTTATTTTTAAAAAATCTTTCTAGCTATAATTAATTATAAATTTCTCATTGATCAAACATTTCACACAGTATTAAACATATTCATTTTCCAAATTCAGTTTCAGCAATATTTTGCAAATCGTAACAGTAACTTATTCATTATACTTTTAAACCCACTTGTTATTAGTACAAAATAATAAGTTTTCTTATCCAAATTTAATATTTCATTTAACATATGTTAAATCAGTAAGGGTCCTATCTGTCTGACTCCAATTTTCCTATTAAGTTTAAGTCACCCCCTCCAACTTGTCCCAGTAAAATAAAATCTTTATCTTCAAAATACCATAGCTACTGAACAAGTACTAACTGTTTTTTCTCTCAGAATGTTCTCAGATACTTCTTTTAGAGCAGTTATTCTCTTATAGGTCAATGACTTACTTACAGTTCTTCTTTTAATTCCACTAGAACAATTTTGTTTAAGTCACCCTCATAATGAGCACTCTTACTGTCAATTGAATTGTTTGAATTATTTTGTCTGAGCATTCCTCCAAGACACTTCTCATGATATCTAGTCTTAACAGCCTCCTATGATAGTGTTTCAGTTTGTTTTCCATCTTGTTTGTCTCAGGATTTTATAGAATGAAAAAAAAAGCCTTTGTATTTTGTAGTTTTTGGCTCCCTCTTATGGTCAAAGAGTAAATCTTTTAAAAATATATTTGCAGATCAGCAGTTGAGTCTTGGCCAATCAGATTCAGTTACAACCCTCCTTCCATAAGAGTTCAAAGTCACAATTTATAACTTCCAATATCAAATGATCTTAACAGATTATTATCATTGTTTTAAAAAGCAAAATTAAGCCACTACATGTTTAAATTTGTTTTAAATTGATTGGAGTTTTAATCTGTCTGGGCCAAAACTATTTAATTTGATTTTATTTCTGCTTTTTAAATTTTGTATATATGTATTTTATTGTTGGCTGTGCACCACCCTGAGTCCTTCGGGAGTAGGGTGGTATATAAAATAAAATAAAATAAAATAAAATAAAATAAAATAAAATAAAATAAAATAAAATAAAATAAAATAAAATAAAATAAAATAAAATAAAATAAAATAAAAAATAAAATAAAATAAATAAAATAAAATAAAATAAATAAAATAAAATAAAAAAATAAAATAAAATAAAATAAAATAAAATAAAATAAAATAAAATAAATCCATATGTTTCTCAGGAAAAGTTAAGGAAAGGAAATATTCTATGCTTGGCTCACTGCCTATAATCCTCTTCCTTGTCATTTAGTTATAAAAATGTCTCTAAAGCAGTACTGTTCTTCAAAAAGGAATATCAGACTGTGACCAAAAAAGGAACTTCTTTTAAATCAGTAAAAATGATAAAGTTGCAGGATGCAATCTAAGTTGGTCACTGGGACCAGAGGTTTATTCTTCTAAGTT